AAGTTCATTTGCTGGGCATGTGACACATGTTTGTAACCCCACCAATTGGGAGGCTGAGGCAGGAGGATTGTGAGTTCAAGACTAGCCTGGAGTATCATGTGATACTCCAGCCTGAACTACACAGCAGTACTATCCTGTCTCAAGAAAATGAACAAATAATCACAAGGTCCATTTCTTGTTTGTTTTGAGACAGGGTCTTGCTGTGTAGCCCAGGCCGGCCTCCAACTCATGGTGAGCCTTCTGCTTCAGCCTCCTGAAAAGGTCCACTTATTGTAGCTGGTGATATTCCCTTCCCCTCTGCAGTACTGGGGATGGAACCCAGGGCCTTTGCACTGAGCTGCATCACCAGCCCTTTTTAATTTTTTGTTTTGAGACAGAGTGTCACCAAATCTCTAAATTCCCCAGGCTGGGCTAGAGCTCACGATTCTCCTGCCTCAGCCTCTGCAGTAGAAATGCAGATGTGCCTTTATTTTAATCCTCTGTGTAGACGAATGGATTCAATTTGCTAGTATTTCAAGAAGGACTTTCGTATTTATGCTGGTGAGCAATATTGGCCAGTGGTTTCCTTTTTCTGTATTTTTGCCTGGTGAGGCTACACTGCCTTCTGAAAACTAGTTGGGAAGTGTTCCCGCCTCCGCTAGTTTCTGGAAGAACTGGGGTAGACGGTGTAATGTGTTCCTTAAAAGCTTCCGGATCAATTCTATTTTATTTTATTTTATTTTTGTGGTCTAAAACCCAGGGCCTGGCACATGCTAGGCAAATGCTTATCACCAAGCCACACTCCATCCTTTTTATTTTATTTTGACATAAGATTTCTTGCTAAATTGCCCAGGCTGGCCTCAAACTGGAGATCCTACAGCCTCAGCCTCCTGAGGAGCTGGGATGACAGGCCTGTGCCATGGTGTCCGGTTTGGCATTTGGTTTCTGCCTACCTGGCACCTTGTCTCCAGACCCCTTGGGTGGGCCCTGTTCCATCCCTTTGCCCTGGAGCTCACAGCTGCGTTGTCCTCTGCGTGTCACGGGAGACCTGGTGGCCCCAGGACCTTGTTCCTGGGAGAATCCTGCCCCCTGCTGGCTGGAGTGAGCTGCACCTGCCAGGCCCAGGAGCAGGGAGCAGTGGGCAGGCAGCTCGCTGCTGGGACCTGAATAGGAGGTGTGTCAGCAGCCTCAGCAGGGGGGACCAGGCCAGGCCGACATTTGCAGATGCAGACCCCCACCCTGAGCTTACAAGGCCACTAGCCTGGTGGGGAGTGGGCAGGGGGACAGCAGGCCTTGGGGAGATTTGGAGCCTGGGCGGTAGGCAGGATAGGGGGGCGGCCCCTAGTCCACCACCTCAGATCTCAAAGCCCTTCTTGTTTGTAACCCCCCAACCCGCTTTGTTGTTTTTGCAGTGCTGTGGGTTGAACCCAGGGCCTTCACGCTGAGCTCCATCCCCAGCCCTTTTTAATTTTGAGACAGGATCTTGCTAAGTCACCAAGTTGTCCAGACTGGGCTTGAACTTACCATCCTCCTGCCTCAGCCTCCCAGCACACCGGAATGACAGGTGAGTGTCCCAGGCCTGGGCAGAAGCTGCTCCTCTATGAACCTGCTTCTCTTTATGTGCTTGGTTGCGCCACGTTCTTCTCCCATCTCACTGACCAGGAAACTGAGGCTGGGGAAGGGGCAGCCGCCTTCCCTGGCTGCAGGGGTGCAGTGGGGGTCCCACACTACACCACGTAGTGCAGGTCCTTTTGGGTCCTTCCAAGGCAGCTGCAGGGCCAGGAGAGGCAGGAAGGGACTCACCGGTGGCGTGAGGCAAGGTGACTTCTCTGTCCCAGCTCTTGACTCTTCTGTTTCTTCCTCTCCCCCTCCTGCCCTCTCTCCTCTGAGTGTCTCCTTCCCATCCTTCCCTGCACCCCACTTTCTGCAGCAAGAGGGCGGGGGTGGCAGGAGCCCTGGTGGCTGGAGCAGGGAAGGGTGGGCGTGGAGGTGCTGGGACAGCCCACTCCATCTCTGTGCCAGTTCAGGCTGTGTGGCCCTAGGAAGCTTGCTTGACCTCTCTGGGCCTCAGCAGCCTCATCTGCAAATGGGGTTGATAACAAAGATCCCTCCAGAGGGCTTGGGGCAGGGTTAGGGGAACAAAGCTATTCTGAGGCCGCCAGCTGGGCATGGAGGCAAAGCGCTGACCGTCAGCAATGTTAAGACGGCGGTGTCCACCTTTGGAAGCTTCCAGAACCTGTGGGGAAGTGGTGTCCTGGGGGTCTCTACCAGATCTGGGGTCACACTGGACTCTGTCCACTTCAGCCTGCGGTCTTCAGGGACCTCTGGCCTCCTCCAAGGGGACCCGAGGCTGCTCGGCCAGCACCCAGAGGCTGAGGCCCTGGCGACGGTGTGCACGTGCACAGGCCGGGGTCCCGGCGTGGTGGCCGCAGTCCCTGCACGGAGCTGCAAGGTGGAACCCGGGCTGGGATCAGCATGGCGCGGCCTGGGGACAGGGCAGGCCGGGATTTATAGCAGCTGCAGAGACTGAGGGATCCGATGTCGCCGGCGCCTCTGTGCCCTCGTTTCCCTCCCTGGCCCCCTCCCAGAGTCCCCGCCCCCTTCCGCCTCTCCTTGTCTAAATCTCCAGTTCCCTCTCCTTTCTCTTCTCTGACTCCTTGTAAAATATTAAATTTTCAATGTAATATTAAAGGTAAAACATTAAATATTAAATTTCTTCTTTTAAAATATTAAAACTCTCAGAACTGGCTAACACCCCTGTTGACCAGAATCTTTAATCCCAGAGGGCCCAGATTCCTCTAGATCTTTCCTTGGCACATGTAAATGCACAGGAAATACAATCTTTTGAGTCAGGTGTGGTGGTGCACACCTATGATCCCAGCACTCGGGAGGCTGAGGCAGGAGGATCACCCCAAGTTTGAGGCCGATCTGGGCTACATAGTGAGTTCAAGGCCAGCCTGAACTACATAGCGAGACCCTGTCTCACACACAAAAAAGAAAATACAATCTTTTAGAAATCATTCTTAAACATATGGAATGAATGGTATTATACTGTACATTTTACTGTGCTAAACTCGCCTCATCATTTGGTAATTTGCCATAGGCGTCTGTCGGCAAGTTTCTTGATCTACTGCTGCATAACAAACATCCCCAAGCCAGGTGTGATGGTGCAGTCATGTAATCCCAGCATTTGGGAGGCTGAGGCAGGAGGACTGCTGTGAGTTTGAGGCCAGCCTGGGCCACATAGTGAGACCCTGTCTCAAAAAACCCAAATTAATTAATTAAAAAATACCCCCCCACACAAAATTTTTTTTTTTTTTCCCTGGTACCGGGAATCAAACTCACTACCTCCTGCTTGCCGGGCAGGCTCTGTGCTGCTGAGCTAAATCCCCAGCCCCCTGCCCCCCCTTTTTTTTTTTGTTTTTCTCTGGTACCGGGAATCAAACTTACAAACTTGCGCTTGCCAGGCAGGTGCTGTGCCGCTGAGCTAAATCTCCAGCTCCAAAATCCCTAAAATGTAGTGGCATAAAAAAATGTTTTTTGCAGTACTGGGGTTTGAACCCAGGACCTTGCCTATGGTAGGCAAGTGTTCTACCACTGAGCTACTTCTGGCTCCTCTGTGGCCTTTTAGTTTTTTATTTTGAGACTGGTCTTGCTAAGGCAGAGTTGCCCAGGCAGGGCTGAAACTTGTGATCCTCCTGCCTCAGCCTCCCAGCGTGCTGGGTGACAGGCACGCATCACTGTACCTGGTCCTATTAGGCCCTTTTCCGAGGAGTGTGGTCTTAGTGCTGGGAAGTGGATGTGTCTGGGCCTCATGCCGCTTGGGTGTCTCTGGGCTTGGGCACAGAGCTGGTACTCTTAGGCCAAGGGCCACGCGCAGCGTGCACATCCTGTGCCTCTTCCTGACCCGAGAGGGAGCTGGCTCAGAGAGGCTGGGAGACAGCCTACGCCTCACAGCGAGTGGTGGGAGGAGCCAGGAACCAAGGACTTGTACAGAGGGTGGCTCCTGCCTTCACTGGCTCGCTGGGGGGTCCTGGAGTGGGTGCAGTGCAGTCTGGGCGCTGTTTTGAGGGGTACAGGAATAAGCCTTGCATCTCTATGTGAAAAGCTGGGGTCCCCCCTGCCTGCATGCTGTGCCCAGGTGCTCCAAGGGGTCTGACTGGCCCCAGAGGCAGGAAGTTCTGCTTTCTCCCCGGGGGCAGGGCCCCCAGGCCGCCCGAGCTGCTGCTACCCCGGGCCGGGGCACAATGGGTCCGGGTGCAAACTCCTGGGGCCGCCAGCTCGAGTGCTCTGGCTCTCGGTCCCGACATGCTCGGCTCCTCTCTGGTCCTGGTCCCCCACCGGGAAAGGGGCCTGGGGTGGGCAGCTCACCGGGTTGAATGTCACGGCACTGGGCTGCCCTCCCTTGGGGGCCGTGACCCCTAGGGACCAGCGCCCCAGTGAGGCCCCTGATGACGAGGCGTGAGGCGGGCCCAGGCAGACGGCAGGGGGAGGGATGAGGCCCCCGATCCTGAGAAGCCTCAAGCCCTGGGCTTGTTTCCCTGGGTCCGGGGCTGAGCTCCCTTCCCACCCAGCCTGCTTCCCCGGTGCCCCACCCCAGCTGTGAGATGTGCAGCGGAGCCTGGGTCCTCCCTGGACAACCTCACGCCAGAAGGCGGCGTCGGCCCTGCCGGCCTCCTGCGAGGACCGCTGCACCTGCTCCGCGGTCAGCGTCCTACCAGGGCCACACGGGTGCCAGGAAGGGCCGGGGGAAGGTCTCGGTGGGCTCACACCAGGCGGGACCAAGGACGCTGGGACCTGGCTGTGTGGGGCGAGATGGGGAGCTGGCTAAGTCCCCTTGGACGAAAGCTCCTGGCCCACCTGGCCCTGCCCCTTGCACGCCTGGGTCACCCGGTAACTCTTTCCTGTTCCCAGCTCAGACTGTGGCCGGCGCGCCACAACCCCGGGGGCTGAGCTGAGCGCCGGGGAGACCCACGCTTCCTGGGGACCCAACCGGAAAAGCAAGGTGCCGGTGCAAATGCTTTGGGTTTGCAGTTTTATTAAGAAAACAAAAATTCAACCTATACAAAAGGGCAGGGGTCGGGGGTCAGCGGCTAGGCGTCCTGCTGCTGGATGAAGGGGTTGGGGATGGCCTCCATGCCGTCCTGCGGGCAGATGAGCACCACTGACGTGCCGCGGCACACCACCAGCCCCAGCTGCCGCGTGTCCTCCGTCAGCTTGTACTGGTCATCCGGGTCTGCGGGGCACAGGGGCGCTGAGCGCAGTGCGGGGCGCGGAGGCCTCGGCTTCCTCCAGGGATGCTTTCTGCCTGGGGACTCGGGGTGCCCTGGCTCCGGAACTCATCGGGGTCACCGGAACCCGAGCTGACAGGGACTCTGGGACCACGGCCCGCACAGAGACAGCAAACCAGACCCCTGGACTCTGAGACCCCCGGGCTCCCTGACGGAAAACGCGTACCCCGTTATAGGTGACGCTATCCTATGGTGAGGGACAGCAAGCTGCAGTCAGGCTCCTGTGAGCTGACAGGCAATTAAACACCTCCATCACCGGCACAAGGTGCTGCGAGCAGCCCAGGGCCGGTGGCCTGGAGTCTGACGCTGGAGCCCGGACGTGGCTCGGACCCAGCTCTCCCCCCCCCCCGAGCTCACACCCCTCCTGTGAGGCGCAGTGGCTCCAGGACCTGGTGGCCAGGGTGACACTACAGCACCGGGGTGTGGGGCTGTCCCTGTAAGAGGGGACGGCCACCACTGCGGGGCTCAGGGGACTCCCGTGTCTTCCCAGGGACCCTGGGCTGGGAGAGGCGGCTGCCAAGGGGGCTGGCACCCCGAGCCCCAAACCCCACCAGGCCCCTGCCTGGGGCGTGCTCAGCTGCTGAACTTTCCAGGACGTCAGGCCGAGTTCCAGCCGCATGGGTGAGACCCAGCGGCCAGACCCTGCCTCCTCTCCCGCCTGGCGCCCGAAAAGGCTCAGAGGGCTGAGCTGGGGGCAGAGGCTGACGGCAGCGGCAGGGACAGGGGTGGGGGCTCCCGAGGCGGGAGAAGCAAGGGGTGCCAGGTTGCGGGGCTGGGTGAACAAGCAGAAGGGGGCCACAGAGAGGAGCCCGCAAGCACAGCTCTCTGTAACCACGCTGGGCACACCCCGAAGACCTCACCGTGCTTCAAGATTGGTAAGAGGTGGGCGCCTGTCATCCCTGCACTCTGGGAGGCTGAGGCAGGACGACTGCAAGCCTGAGCCCAGCTTGTGCAACTCAGCCAGAGGCCCTGGGCTCCACGGCCAGTGCGGGTGCAAAGAAGGGGGCGGAGAGGCCCGCAGACAGGGCTGCACCTCCCGAGTCCTAGAGGGTGGGATCTCCGGCTGCGCCAGCGGCCCAGGACCAGGGTCAGGGTGGGGGGCCCACCCCCCGCTGCCATCTGATCACAGGCACCGGTGTCCCTGGAGGCAGCAGAGGGGGCTGGAGAGGGACGGGCGGGGCCCAGCTCACCTCGCATGTACTCGATGGTCCCGTCCAGCACGAGGTTGAGCAGTGGGTCGAAGCCCTTCAGGATTCCACTGGCTTGGAGAAAGCACCGGGAAGAGAAGGGAAGGGAGAGGCCTGAGGTCAGCACCTGCCCCCAGGGTGGGGCCTGAGGGCCCCCCGGGCTGGATGCAACAGGCTCAGCACACGTCCTCAGCAGCGGCCCGGTGGCCAGTGTACCGGGCTCTGTCACTGCCCGGCGGGGCCTTGGTGGCGTGGAGGAGGACGTGAAGGAGACATCAGGGCACGGTGGGCTGTGTGCCAATAAAACTTTATGTGTGGACGCTGACATGTGAATGCTGACACGAGATCTTCTTTAGGCTTCTTCAATGATTCAAAAAGTGTAAAAAAAAGGGTAGTATAAAAACCCAGCAGGGCATATTGGTGCGCACCTGTAACCCCAGCACTTGGGAGGCTGAGGCAGAAGGATCACTGAGAGTTCAGACCCTGCCTCAGAAAACCAAAGAAAAAAAATAAGTGATAAAAACCATTCTCATCTTGTGAGCTGTTCCAAAGCAGGCAGCAGCGGTCGCTGCTGGGGACCGGCAGGAGGGGAGCGGGGAGGCGAGAGGGTGGTGATGGGTACGAAGTCACAGCTGCAGGCTTGAGGCTCTGCAGCTCAGCAGGATGACCACAGGCAACAAAGGCTTACTGTGGATCTCAGGATCGCCGGCAGATGCGCAACGTTCCCATCACAGAAAACTGCGGGCGCGTGACAGGCCGACATGCTCGTTACCCCGTCTGCTCAGTACACAATGCGCACACGATCAGGGTACCGTGCGGACCCCACAACTATGGATAAGGATCATGTGTCCGTTAAAAACAAATTTCAAAAGGCTAACACTCACTGGGCGTGGTGGCACAGGCCTGTAATCCCAGCACTTGGGAGGCTGAGGCAGGAGAATTGTTGCGAGTTTGAGACCAGCCTGGGCTACAAAGTAAGCTCAAGGCCAGCCTGAACTGCATAGCGAGACCCTGTCTCAAAAAGACAAAAAAAATAATAAAAAAGAAAAAGAACACTTGCCACAGGGTGGACAGACCTTGTGGATGCCATTCTCGGCAAGAGAGGCCAGGCACAGAGGACGCACAGCGCGGGCTCCAAGGGCAGGAAACGCCCAGGACAGGCGACACCAGGGACAGGAAGTGGACTTAGGGGTTCCTGGGCTGGGACTTAGTGCAGACAGTTTGAGAGATGAGAAGGTTCCGGCCATGGGAGGTGGTGATGGCGGCCGCTGTGAGGTGACTTACTTAATGCCCTGGAACACGACGTTTAAAAACTATTAATTTTACGTCGTGAATTTCACCTCGATTACAAAGCAGCTGGGGGCTGGGGGCGCAGCTCAGCAGCAGAACACTTGCGGTGGCCAGGCACACCTGGCTCCGGGCACTACGGTGTCCACTTCTGCGTCTGAGGCCGCCTGTGCCTGATCCCCACAAAACCTAGTGCCCAGCAAGGTCCCTGTTGCATGAGGGTCCTCAGTGGCTCTCCAAGAAATGCCCCTCACTGGCCACACAGAGCCCCGTCTGCAGCTGCGTGCCCTCCCCTCCCAGGCTCCTCCGCTCCTGCAGCCTCGAGGTCCTAGGTGACAGCTCCTTGACGGAGGCGAGGGCCAGGCCACACAGGCCCTCAGGTCACACCTGGCCACGCCTTCCGTAGATGTGTCACTGGCACACAGCCTCGCTCGTTCGCTTGTGGAGTCTGTGGCTGCCATGGCTGAGCTGAGGAGACCGAGACCACGTGGACCTGAGCACATCTGCCACCGCCTGTCCTTCCCTTCACCCCTGGGAGCGGACTTCCTGCCCGCCTACACCTGGCTCTGAGGCTCCCTCTGAGGTCTGTGTCCCACGGGCTCACGGACAGCGTCAAGCGCAGTACCCCACTCGGGCACGGCCTGGCCAAGGCCACAGGCAGGTCTGCAGGAGGGGCGAGCACACTGGGTAAGCCGGGCCTGAGTGCGGGTGTCGCTCCCAAGCTTAGGTCCCGTGCCAATGACAAGAACCTCTGAGCTGTAATTCAGGTCCCTGATGAGAGGCTCTGTGTCAATCTAAGGGAGGTGACGGCTGGGTGCGGTTGCATAGTTGTCATTTCAGCACTCTCTGAGGCTGAGGCAGGAAGATTCCAAGTTTGAGCACTGCCTGGGCAACTTAGTGAGATCCTGTTTCAAAATAAAAAAAATTGAAAATAAAAAGGGCTGGGGATGGAGCTCAGAGTGAAGGGCCTGGGTTCAACCCCAGCACCACGCAGATAATGTGTGCTTCGTTCTCGCCAGCGCAGCAGCCCGCTGGCACGTGACAGGGCCCCGAGGCAGAAGCGAGTGTCCCCAAACCAGCACAGGGGGAAGACAGGAGCTCAGCCCTACAAGTGTAAGGAACAGGGTTCTATCAGGAACTGGTGAGCTCAAGGCTGGAGCCTCAGCTGACGGGCCTGAGACAGCGCCCTCTATTACAGCCTTAGGGGGACAGTGGGCCCACGGTGCCAGGCCATTAGCCTACAGATCTTGTAAGGCACAAGTCAGTATTGTAGAACCTGCTACAGGGGCAGACACTTACTAAGCAAGGCACAAAACAACACGACCTCCCCGAAGAGCAGGAATCACATCTTGTTCACACATCCTACATGCCCAGGAGCCAGCATGGTGCAGATGGAGCAAATGTTTATGTTCAAATGTCACCGTGGGCCTTGTACCTACGTGGTTAGGCAGGCACCGGGCCTTCAGGACCGATGCCACCCACCAGTCCCCATCTCGGGGAAACAGGAGCCTGGATCTCTCTCTCAAAAAGAAAAAGCTGACCAGGCATGGTAATGCATACCTATAACCTCAGCACTTGGGAGGCTGAGGCAGGAGGACTGCCATGACTTCGAGATCAGCCTGGGCGAAAAGTGAATTGAAGCTTGAATTACATAGCGGGGCCTTGTCTCAAAACACAAAACCAACCAAACAAAAAAACCCAAACAAAAAAAAAAACAAAAACCTGATCACCAGAGAGGCTGCTGAATGAACGAAGTGCTGCTGGTGTGCTTGCTGCTGTGTGGTGTTGCTTTCACCCCTTCCCTTCCCAGTGCGACCCAGAGAAGTAGGCGGAGTTACTGCCACATGACACAGAAGGAAACTGATGCTCAGCAATGGTAGCTAAACGCTCAAGTCCCACGGCTGGTGTGTGGAGGAGCTGGGTCCTAACCCTCATGGTCTGGACAGAACCCACAGCCAGCATAGGCTGCTGCTCTCACCACCAGGCCACCCGCCCTGAAAGCGGCCCTCTCATCAGATTCCACGGAAGTCAGACACAGCCTTAGGCATCACATTAAAGAGTAGGTGCGGCTAGGAGCCTCGGGTGCCATCACACATGTGACAGTCAAGAGTTCCATGCCTCACTTAGAGGTAAAGAAGTTCTGATTATACTCCAGAACACCAGGGAGCCAAGACCGGTGTAAACAGGAGAAAGGATATTTTTTTTCCGTACTGGGGACTGAACCCAGGATCATTACGCTACCTCTGAATTACCTTCCAGCCCTTTACTACTTTGAGACAGGGTCTCGTAAACTCGCTAATTTGTCCAGGTGGGGATCAACCTTGAGATCCTCCTGCCTCAGCCTCCCAGAATGCTGGGATGACAGGCCCAGTTAAGGAGATTCCATTTTAACAAGTTTCTCAGGGCACTAATAGAGATCAGCCATAGAGTTAGTGGTTCCCAACTATGGGTGATCCTGTACCCCAGGGGACACTGAGAAGTGTCTGGGGACACTGCACTGTCATGACTGGAGGTGGTTCCTGGTGTGGAGGGGGTAGAGGCCAGGGATGCTGCTTAGCACTCTGCAGTGCCCACGATGCCCCATGCAAGTGAACCATCTGGCCCAGTGCCCACCATGCCAGAGACCTAATGTAAAGGAAGTTGAGCTGGGTGTGGTGGTGCATGCCTGTAATCCCAGCACTCAGGAGACTGAGGCAGGTGGATCACTTTGAGTTTGAGGCCAGCCTGGGTTACACAGAGAGTCTGTTGCCAAAAAAATCAAAAGGCTGGGAATACAGCTCAGTGGTACAGCGCCTGCCTGGCAAGCACAAAGTCCTGAGTTCAATTCCCTGTACCACATACATAAAAAGAAAACAAGAAAAAACAACAATGTAAGGAAAGCAAGAAATCAGTGAGGACCTGGGGCAGCTCCAGGCGAGGGGAGCTGCAGAGACAGGACAGCTCTCTTCCTGGTTACATCTGGTCTCCTCTCCTTGCCTCAGTTTCCCCACCTGAAATATAGGAAGGCCAGTTCCTATCTCCCAGTGATAATAGGAGGATGGCACAAGGTGCTTTCTATTTTTTTTTTTTTTTTGTCTTTCTGAGACTGGGTCTCGCTATGCAGCTCAGGCTGGCCTTGAGCTCACTCTGTAGCCCCGGCTGGTCTCAAACTCGCCACGATCCTCCTGTCTCAGCCTCCCGAGTGCTGAGATTACAGGTGTGCGCCACCACGCCCGGCTACAGGCCTCCTGTTGAGCACCTAAAACATCCGCAACCAGGGCTGGGGATTTAGCTCAGCGGCACAGCACCTGCCTGACAAGCGCGACGTCGTGAGTTTGATTCCTGGTACCGAAAACAAAACAAAACAAAACAAAAAAAACCCAAAACAACACAACAAAAAAAACAAAAAACAAAGAATCTGCAGCTATGCACGGTCTCCCCCTCGTCGCTGCTTTTACTTATTTTATTTGCGTCGTTAAGGGAGGGCGCCTCACCTTCGCGGCCCCCCTGGAACTTCACCCGGATCGTCTTGTCAATGTATTTGGACAGGTCCAAGATGCTCTCCTTCTTCTTTTTCTCTTTGTCCTGCGGGAAAGCACCGCACATGACGTGGGGAGCGGGGCCACCTCGGGCTCCGCATTCTCCGGCCACCAGGTCTCACAGGTCCGCAGCTGCCCCGTCCCCACACAGGAGCTGCAGCCCGTCTCCCTGGTCGGCTGCCCCGCATGTGCCCCTGGCACACAGCCTCCGTCTCCAGGGCCCGCAGTCCCTCGGCCACATGTCCTCCTGCACCCTCCGTCTGCAACACCCCACGGGTCTACAGTGCCCCTTCTCCTGGCCTGCAGCTTCCTGCCCACTAGATATTTCTCCCGCTCCGCACCCCGTCTTCGAGCCTCCCTATCTCCTCCCGCTCTGCAGTTCCCAGGCTCCCACGTTCCTCCGCCTCCTAGTCATCTGGCCCCGCGTCCCCACGTGCCCCCGGCCCCTCCGCTCCGCCAGCCCCCACGTCCAGCCGCGCGCTCACCGCCATCGTGCCGTCTGCGCGTTTGTGCGCAGGCGCCACGCCGCGCCCTTTGACCCCGGCCCCGCACGCGTGCGCAGCGCTTGCGCGGCGCGGCGCCCCGGGGCGTTGCTGGGAAACCTCCGCTGTCTGCTGCGGCGGGACCGGCAGGAATGGCGGCGTCGGCGCTGGCGCGGCTCGGAGCGGCCTTTGTACTCTTCGCAGCCCAGGTGAGGGCTGCGCTGGCCGTGACCGCTCCGCAGCTGTGGGTGCTGGTCCCCCGGTCCCGGGGTACGCGTGGGACCCCGCCCGGCCCGGCGTGGGGGCCAGCGTCCGGCATCCGCGCCCCCCGCGAGCGGCGGGAGCTGGCCGTGACCTTGCGGGCCTGTTCCTGGCTCCTCGCTCCCCTCTTCCCGCCTCGAGAATCCGCCCCGCGTCATGCTTGTCGGTTTCGGGGTCCCCAGCTGCCGCCACGGACCCCCCTCCTGTGGCCTTGGGCAGGTAGCTGTCCCCCCGCGCCTCAGTTTCCCCTCTTTGCGGAATGGGCACGATGCGAGCTAGGTCACCACCCCAGGGCTTGCCGCAAGGGCCCAGAGGGGTGTCTGCTGTGTTCCCCAAAACCTGGCCGCGTTGAGGAGCAGCCAAGAACCCAAACCCGGAATGGGGTCGAGCCCCTGCCCCTTGTCTTTTACTCCTGACCTTGGGCTTTGAGCGGCAGTGATCCCTCTGCAGACGGGGGCATAAGCGTCTCGTAGTTTGGGGGTCCTGGACAGGATGTGGGGGCCGTGGATCCGTCAGTGAGAAGGGCGTCACAGGCTAGCAGGGCCTACCCCGGTCCCCGGGGTAGCTGAGGCACGCTGTCAGAACTACAGTAGGGTTTCAGATCTTGCCTCTTTCCTGGGATCTGCAGGTCAGGGAGTGAGGCCCCTTGAAGTCTACAAATGCCCCCCTTAACCTTGACCCTTCCTTACAGTTAGTTCTAACTGGAGATGGAACTCAGGGACTTCACACTAAGTTAGATCCTCAGCCTTTTTAAAAATTTTTGAAACAGGGTTTTGCTAAGCTGTCCAGGCTGGGGTCAAAATTTCGATCCTCCTGCCTCAGCCTCCCCGAGTGCTAGGATGACAGACGTGTGTACAGTATGAGACACCTCTCCCACACTAGCCTCCTTCCCGTCCTCCACTGTGCAGCCCATCACCCCGTCTCTGTGGTTGCTCCCAGCAGCTGCTCCCAGCCGTCTCCCTGTGCCCTCTTCCCCCACGTCAAGTCCGTTCTTGACCCGGCAGATGGTGTTTTGCCGAGCTCATCAGGTCTTGTCACATCCAGCTGTGAGAGGTTCAGCTGCTTCCTGTTTTATTCCTGAGGCCTCTGGGTGCCTGGAAGCTGCCTCCTGGACAGTGAGGTTCACTGAAGGTCCCTTGCTGTCCACGCTCTTCTGTCACCCTGGAATGTCCCTGGTCTCCCTCCAGTCTTGGCTGTTCCGTTACCCTCAGAGGCAGTGTGGGAAACCCCTCAGCTCCGCGGCTTTGTCTCCAGTCCCCTGGACTTTCCCCACCGGTCTGCTCAGCTGCCGAAGGGACTCTGCATTCTCCAGAGAATGTGGCTGAAGGGGAGGTGAGAGAGATGGCTGTAGCGTTGTGGAGACACCGCAGAGGCTGGGGCTCAGTTTCCCCGGGAGAGTTTCCGCCTCACCCCCCGGGAGGGTTTTAAAAACAGTGACATGGGTGTTCTGAAATGAACAGGACTTTGCCAGGTGGGCGTGGGAGAGGAATGGTGTTGTGGGCAGCGGGAGCGGGCTCGGGAGGTGCAAGCTGGTGATTTGTTCGGGGAAGGTGAGGAGTTGGCTAGGGCTGGTGTGGAGAGTGGTTTAACGCTTCCAAGGAGAGCTTACCCGACCCAAAGATGGCCCTGCAAAGGGTGCCCTTGTGCTCACCTGGGAGTGAGGCCAGGGGCTCCCCCTCAGCCAGGGGGCAGAGCAGGGGGCCCAGGGAGTGGCTCTGGGAGAGGGAAAGGGTGGAGCAGGCTGTGGCCCAGGCTGGACAGGTCAAGCCAGGCGGCAGAAGGCTCGGGATGCTGGGGCTTTCGGACTTCGTCCTGGGCGGACAGAGTTCGCATTTCGCCCCGAGAGTGGAGTGAGGAAGCGGCTTCCAGCTTCTTGCTTTTCCTGGAATCTGTTGTAAACTGGGAGGTGGGGGCTGGAGGGAAGTAGGTGCCCAAGAATGGGAGCAGCTGTTCTCTGGGCAGGGGCTGCTTGGTGACAGTCCTAAATGTGCTACCACGTGGGGACCCTGGGCAGGAGATGTGGCTTCAGCTGCTGTACCTGCCTCCCCGTCACCACAGGACGAATGTGGGGCGAGTTTGCCAGTGGGACCTGTTAGTCAGCTGATGGTGACAGTGTGGACGCCCCTGGTGTGCCCCACCCTTTTGCCTGGGCAGGCAGCCTGGTCCTCGCTGGAACTGGGGACCCCTTGGAGGGCGGCTGTTCCCCATGATGGTTTTGGGACCGCACTGGCAGAGTTGCACGCTGTTGTGGTTCTGAGGCTTGGTTCCCCACAAGTGTCGCATGTGCTCTGTGATTGTGCAGCCCCAGAGGCGGCTGTGTCGGCCTCAGGCAGCAGCGCTGGGTGGTCCTCACCCCCGGGCTCCTGCTTCTGAGCTGGGGACCTCCTCCCTGTTTCTTAGCGCAGCAGGGACAGCGCCCATCGAAGGGAGCAGGTGCTTGCCTGGTGGCTGGGGAAAGCGCAGGGTAATTTTTTTTTTTTAATGGAAAACCAGTTTTGCAGATTATGGGGAGAGAATACCCGTGAAGGCGCTTTTGTGTCTTTAAGTGATCTTTTTGAAGAGAAGTGGTTCTATCTATTTCTGTTTCACACAAAAGGCATTTCAGTGATAGCCCAGATCGTGGGACAGGGCTGGGCTGTGTCTTCTGGGAAGGCCAGATAGCCAGCGCTGCTGGCTCGGCCCTGGTCCCTGCTGCTGCGGCTGCCCTGCTGTGGGGGCAGACCGTGCGCCTTCTGCACAGGAGAAGATTTGGCCACGTTCCAGTAAAACTTTATTAACAGACACAAGAGGGGTGGGGTTAGGACTTTGGATTCCAGCCCTTGTGTGGCCCATAGTCTGCCTCCCAGCAGGTGCCGGGGCACTGGGCCTCGGGTGGGCCGTCGGAAGGGTTGGGCACCCTTTGCAGGCAGGGCAGTGGGGGCACCTGCAGGAGGGGGAGGAGGTGACACTGGGAGAGGTTTTGGGCCAGGACAGGACCAGGAGGTGGGAGAGGAAAGTGTTAGCCAGGGGCTCTGGGCCGCCTGGGGCTTGGCCTGTGGTGCTGAGTGCTGCTCACAGTGACCCTGTTCAGCTGCCCCAACTAGGTGCCCGGGACACAGTCAGCAGCCACAGGAGGCTCACGGGTCGTTATTTCAGGGAGCAGGGGGCCCTGGAACAGCAGCTGGGGATGGCCTGTGCCCCTCAGAATGCAGCCTGCGTCAGCTCTGGACCGTGGGGACCAGGGGCCCGCGGGCTTTCACACGCTGCCACCTGCAGGTGGCCAGGGCCTCAGATAAGATGCTCTTAGGCTAGTTGGGCATCCTGGGCCTAGTCAGAGCCCCCCTTTCACTGCCCCAGCCTGACATAGCCACCTGCTGGGCAGGGGACTTGCTGTGACATCATCGTGGACCTGCAGTGCTGGTCTCGCCAGCAGGGTGCAGGTTGGCGCCTGTCCATGTGTCGTCAGGCCAACGGCACTGCCTGCTTGTTTGTGTGCGGGTCCTCAGGGGACACCAAGAGCGTTCCAAGGAGCTCACAGCCCCATGGGAGGAGCAAACAAGGGTGCAAATGGGCTTTCTGTCCCCAAGAAGGCCAAGGCAGGGGCCAAGGTGCCTAGGACCCCCACCCTCTGCAGTTGGGCGTGGCCAGGCCCCCTGGCCCCCTGTGAGGCTGAGGGTGTCCTTGTCAGGATGGCAGGGCAGCTGGATCCAGCTCTGCCTGATGTGGTAGGAGCCAGGCGAGGCCCAGGCCGGAGGTGTGTGAGGCGGAGTCAGCAGGCGGGAGCCTGTGGTCCCACACCGGGGTCTCCCTGTCCCAGAGGGCCTCCGCCCTGGTGCAAGCGCATACTTGGTGGGTCCCCAGCTGTGTGTGCTGAGGGCCCTCACAGCCCCTCTGCATCTCCCAGCTTCCTGCTGGGTCATCACGGAGGGACCCAGGCCAGCTGTCCTGGCTGGCCGGTGCTGGGTAGGGGCATGGGAGGGAACAGGACCTAGGCGGCCCTGAGGGCCCTGCCATGGCCAGCCAGTTGTGTACCCTGTTGCTGCGAGGCCTCAGCCCCCTCTTCCAGCAGAGATGCAGCTCCCGCCGCGCCCCTGTGCCTGGTGCCCCTGGCCCCTTTGGTGCATCTACTTCCTGCCCCACTTGCTTGGGAGCTGATGGGGTGCTGGACTGGGTTCCCCTGATCTGCGCCCTCATGGGCTGGTCACATGACCAGCTGTACCGCCACCTGTGGTCAGACCTGCTGGGGTATGGGAACCTTGCCTGCCCCTCCCACCTTACCCCACACAGTGACCACCAGGGCTGGGGATGGAGCTGCGGGCACCCTGCAGGAGGTGCTTCCTAGGGCACCCAGTTTCCTCCTGTCTCCACTGATGCTGCAGGCCCACGGGCTCGTGCCACCCCGTCCAGAGTGACGGGACATGGCTGTGGTCCCAGCCCCAGTTGCCCCGGAAGTCACGCTCGTCCCTGCCCCCCTCCTTCCTGGCGTCCTCAGCCATAAATGTATCGGGGAGAAGACAATGTCCCCAGCCACGCTGTGGACACAGACGCCGGCCCTAGGGCATCCCGTGCCTCTTGGGGCCTGTCTGACTGCCCTGTCTTTGCCGCAGGTGGCCTGTGAGTATGGAATGGTGCACGTGGTGTCTGAGACCGGTGTCGCCAGAGGCAAGGACTACTGCATCCTGTACAACCCCCAGTGGGCCCACCTCCCGCACGACCTGGGCAAGGCGGTGAGTCTCCCCAGTGCTGTGGCCTGCCTCCTGCTGGGGTCAGAGGAGCCCTACCCGGAGTGCGCTGGGCCTGCCACCGCCGACGGTACCATTTGTGCTGCTCTGTGCCAGCGTCTGGGTCCCAGGGCTGGGTGCAGGGAGGCACGCGCCCCGCTGTTCTCGGCACTGCCCTCCCTCCCAGGGTACTACAGCCCTGCTCCTCGCCGTGCCTGCCTCTGCCTTCATGATGTTTGTAACAGACTGGGAAGGCCCCATCCTCCGAACAGTTGTCATCTCTGTCCCTTCCTCTCTGCAAGTGCGACTGTGTGTCAGTGTGAGTGTGTGGGTGCACGGCTCGTGCTCAAGTGTGTATGCTGTCACGTGTGCGTGCAGGTTGCCCTGCCACCAGCCCCGGGCATGGGCCGTGGGGTCTGTGAGAACGGGGCTCTGCCTACCTCGTGTGCTGCCCTGTGCTTGCTGGGGGCGGATTTGGTCTTGTGATGGGGATCGCGGGGCTAGGAGGATGGCGCTGGATGCTGGCTGGGGCCTCCTGAGGCCCGGCTGTGCACCCAGAGGGGAGCTGGGCTCTCCTGAGGCCACACACAGCCGGCAGCGCCTCCCCAACTTGGGCCCAAGCCAGGGGTGGCCTTGCTTTCCAGTGAGTGCACAGCGGTAGCAGGGGGCTTCCCAGGCCTCCCAGCGCACTGAGGCTGTGAGCCCAGAGCGGGGCTGCGCTCTGGATGGTGGCACTGGGCCTCGCCTCCCCCCCCAGGCCTCGGGCAGGAGAAGTCCTGGCAGACAGGGATTGTTGCTTCCGTCCTGTGGACACGGCCGGGGGACACGGCCACGACCCCACTGCACACTCACAGGATCCTCAGGGACAGCTCCAGGTCCCCGCCCCACCCCTGTCACGCCAGGCCCACCCCTCCCGAAGCCCAGGAGGCCTCAGGATAAAGCTCCCTGGCCTGTGCCAGTGCTGGAGGGTTGGCGTGTGTCACGGTGTCCTTTCTGGTGACTCAGTGGCCATAGAACCTCTGTGACGCCCTCCTCCCGCCCCCCAGTCTCTCCTGCAGCTTGGTGACTGGTCATCCTCCCTGCTCTGCTCCCCCAGCGACCTCCCTGCTGCTGGCTTCAGCAACCAGATCCCGCTGGTGGCCCGCGGGAACTGCACCTTCTACGAGAAAGTGCGCCTGGCGCAGGGCAGCGGGGCCCGTGGGCTGCTCATCGTCAGCAAGGAGAAGCTGGTATGGCGGCGGCAGTGCCGAGTGTGGGCGTGTGAGGGGCACACGAGGCACGGGGTGGTCTGGCTTTCGCTGTGGATCACCTCGCATGTGGCCTTGTGGGGAGGGGTTGCCCTAATCCAGCAGGGCCTTGGATGGGGCCCTGGGTGACTTCTGGACCCCCTAGTCAGCCTGGCCCGTGGCTGCCTAACCCCCACTTGCGGCCTGGCACTGGCAGTGGCTGTTACCCTGACCTGGGCCCAGTGGCCTGGGGTGTGGATGGACCGGGACCTGTGGGCCTCACCTGCCCCCGTCTTGCATAGACTCTGCCGTCCGGGCCTTGTGGGGTGACCCCCTGTATCTCCTCCTCTCGGGCCCCAGGTTCCTCCGGGCGGCAACAAGACACAGTACGAGGAAATCGGCATCCCCGTGGCCCTGCTGAGCCACAGAGACGCTCTGGACATCTTCCGGGTAGGTGCGCCCAGCCATGCTGCCCCCGGCCCCAAGGAGGGTGGTGGCCCGGGCTGGACCTGCAGGTTCCCGCCTCAGCCTGCTGGTGGGGCGGAGCCTGCGGGGTGAGGAGGGCAGGGTCCCTGCTCAGCCACCTGTTCCCCGGCAGAGCTTCGGCCGCAAGGTGCGGGTGGCGCTGTACGCCCCCAGTGAGCCGGTGCTGGACTACAACATGGTCATCATCTTCATCATGGCGGTGGGCACGGTCGCCCTTGGGGGCTACTGGGCCGGGAGCCGGGACGTGAGGAGGTGAGTGCCAGGCCGTGTGTGCACCGCTGGGGGGCACCTCGCCCAGCCGGAGCACTCGAGGTGCCCGTCAGATGCTCACTGGAGTGGGGTGTGGCGGGCGGGGTCCCCTCCTGGGGACTTGGGGTTCCTGGCTCGGTCCTTGGAGCCCACATAGGGGTCAGCTGTCACAGGGTTGGAAAAGTGTAGGTGCTGGTGACGGGGCTGGGCCTGCGCACTGTGCTCGCTGGAGCGACTGCCTGGGAGCTGCCCGCGGGGGACGGGGCCCCCCAGCACCCTGTGAGCCCGGTGTCCTCCAAGAAGGTACATGAAGCATAAGCGGGACGACGGGCCCGAGAAGCAGGAGGACGAGGCGGTGGACGTGACGCCCGTCATGATCTGTGTGTTCGTGGTCATGTGCTGTTCCATGCTGGTGCTGCTCTACTACTTCTACGACCACCTCGGTGTGTCCCGCGAGGGCTGGGGGCGGGGTGGGGGGCGGGCCTCCGTGGTTCCTCACTTCCGCCCTCCCTCCTCCCCGCAGTCTACGTGATCATCGGGATCTTCTGCCTGGCCTCCTCCACCGGCCTCTATAGCTGCCTGGCGCCCTGTGTGCGCCGCCTGCCCTGCTGTGGGTGCAGGTGAGCCTGACCCCTGGGTGCCCGATCCCTGCGCCCCAGCCCATGCAGCGTGGCTCAGGGCATACAGCAGGCGCTCACTCAGTGCTGGCCCAGAACGAGGCAGGGCGGAGAGGCAGGCACTGTCTTTGGGACCCTTCTCTGCCCACCCACTTGCCCAGGCTGCCTCCCTCTCCCCCACATCCTGTCCAGCAGCCGTCTAGGGGGAGGCACTGGGTCATACTGGAGCTACAGGCCAGCCTTGCTCAGAGCACCCCACTGGCCAGGGCCCCAGAGAGAGCCCCCAGCCCAGCAGCTGGTGTGCTCTTGGGGCTGCTGGAGGGCTGAAGCGATGCCAGATGGGGTTCAGAGGACCCTCAGGGAGGGGCTGGTGCCGCTGGGCTTCTATGAGCACACTTACACCCTTGAGCCTGCTGCCCTGGCTCTATCCCCCAGGAGGGGATAGGGGCTTGGTGGGGGTCTGGGGTGGCAGCCCCCACGTGAGGGCTTTGTAGGGAGCCTTTGGGTGTAGGTGTGGGCACAGGGCCCAGGTGGGGGGAGGGGCCAGGGGGGCTGTGGGGTCCCGGGTGCTGATGGGCGGTCCTCACCAGGGTCCCAGACAACAGCCTGCCCTACTTCCACAAGCGCCCCCAGGCCCGCATGCTGCTCCTGGCGCTCTTCTGCGTGGCCGTCAGCGTGGTGTGGGGCATCTTCCGCAACGAGGACCAGTGAGTGCCGCTGCCCCCTCGGTCCCCGCCCCTGTCCTCAGATGCCCCAGTGGTGGAACCTCCTGCCGAGTTCTCCTGTCTGGGGCTGCTTCAGCTTGCGTCCTGAGCCCACACCGCTCGCCTGGGCGCCCCGCCGGCCCTGTGTCCGGTTTCACCCTGGGCTGGCTTGGTGCCCCCAGGCCCTGATTTTGATCTGGATGGAGGTGCCGCAAACCCTTCTGACCCTCATGCCCATGGTCTCCATGGGGCCCCCAGGCAGGGAAGACGCTGGCCCAGTGCCACCATTGTCCCCTACCGTGCACTCCACAGCCCCTACTTGGATGCTGCAGGCCCGTGGCTCTACCAACACCCTCTGCCGCACACTGGCTCCCACCGAGCCGCCCGTCCCCGCCCAGCTGCACCATGGTCCCCGACACCATCTGGCGCTGCCCTGGGCCTCCGTGGCTGCGGAGTGCTCTTGGCTCCAGTGCAGTTTGGAGCCCAACAGATTTAGCTGGCAGGAGGAAGACAGGGAAATATTTTGAGCCCTTTGTACACAAAGCCTCTCACAGCCGGGCCCACGTAGGCACCCCCTTCCCGGGCCAGGGCCCAGCCAGGGTGAGGCACGCTTACCCTGAGTCTACACTGCGCAAATAGCCGGGGTCAGGTGCAGTGTCCCAGGTCGCTAAGGCCTTGCCTTCCAGGTGGGCCTGGGTCCTGCAGGATGCTCTGGGCATTGCCTTCTGCCTGTACATGCTGAAGACCATCCGCCTTCCAACCTTCAAGGTGAGGCTTGGCCACAAGGGGGCGCCACAGGTCCCCCTCCACCCACCTGCCAGGCCTGGCCCCGGGCCTGGCCTCATGCGCTGCTCCCCGCAGGCCTGCACACTACTGCTGCTGGTGCTCTTCATCTACGACGTCTTCTTTGTCTTCATCACGCCCTTCCTGACCAAGGTAGGTGCCCAGCACCCACCCACGCCCTGTGCCCTGCCCCATGCCCACACTGACCTGGCCTTTGTGTGCAGAGCGGGAACAGCATCATGGTAGAGGTGGCCACCGGGCCCTCGGACTCCGCCACCCACGAGAAGGTGCGTCACCCCCGCTGTGTGGCTCAGCCCAGGGTCTGATGGGGGCGGTGGGGGCAGGGTGCAAGGGCCTCGCAGGCCAGACAGGCCCTGGCCTGGAGAGAGCCCTGCTCTGCTCTCCGCAGCTGCCCATGGTCCTGAAGGTGCCCAGGCTGAACTCCTCGCCCCTGGCCCTGTGCGACCGGCCCTTCTCCCTCCTGGGCTTTGGAGACATCTTGGTGCCAGGTGCCGAGGCTGGGGGGCTGGGAGACATGGAGGTGACAGGCTGGGGCCAGGCTCTCTCTGACGGGAGGGGATCCTGCCGCCCAGGCTTTGAGGGAGGCATAGAGGTGGCCCCTGACCAGTCTGGGCCCCAGCTGTGCTGTGGTCATGCTCCCTGGTGGTCTGTGCCCCCTAGTGCAGAGGGTGGGGGCCAGCCTAGCCCCCCTCACCACCGGGGTCCCCTGTGGTGACCCCCAACCAGGCCATGCTGGGCCAAGGGTCGCAGGGCTCACGCCAGCCCTGTGATGAACTGGTGCACGCTCCGGGTGCGAGTGACGTCAGCAGCCCGTCAGGAGAGGTGGCCTCGGCCCGTGGTGAGGCTGCGGTCCTCTTGCAGGGCTGCTGGTGGCCTACTGCCACAGGTTCGACGTGCAGGTGCAGTCCTCCAGGGTGTACTTCGTGGCCAGCACCATCGGTGGGTACCGCGCATGCCGGGAAGCTGTCCTGTCCTGGCTTCTGCAGCGTTCGCTGTGTGTATTTCTTTTCTCCTCTGTGTTTTTTCTCTTTCCTGTTTACCTTCCCGTTTATCACCGGAACCACACACACTATTCTCTGTTGAGCGCACGGTGGCATGTGCCTGTCACCCCAGTACTCTGGGGCAGGAGAGTTACAAGCTCAAGCCCAACCTGGACAATTTAGTAGTAGTGAGGTCCTGTCTCAAAGTATAAAATAAAATTTCAGAAGGATTGGGAATGTAGTTCAACGTGAAGGCCTGGGGTCCCATCCCCAGTACCACAAAAACAAACGCAGACAAAACCCAAGTCAGTGGGATTGACCCCAGCCGGCCGCTGTGGATGAGGGGTGTCCCACAGAGGGCCACCTGGGGCCATCGCCTGTGTGCGCTCTCACTCCCTCTGCCTCTGCTTCCCATACCTCCTCTGCTGCTCCTGCCCCGCGCACGGCATCCCCACAGGAGGGGCTGGGGTGCCCGGCCCACACCGGCCAAAATGACACCCACCGCCCCTCCCCTCTGCCCCCTCTAGCCTACGGCATCGGCCTCCTGGTGACGTTTGTGGCGCTGGCGCTTATGCAACGCGGCCAGCCCGCACTGCTCTACCTGGTGCCCTGCACGCTGGTGACATCTTGCGCGGTGGCCCTGTGGCGCCGGGAGCTGGGCGCCTTCTGGACGGGCAGTGGCTTTGCGGTGAATACCAGTTTCTATGACTGTCTGCGGGAGTAATAGCCTAATGGGCCCTAACTGGGTCACAGTTGAGTAACCCTCCTCGCACTCCTACTAAGCCCCGCCCCGTCCCTGCTTCAGAGAGGTTTTGGTTTGAGGATCGTGGTCATGGGGGGTGGTGAGCCGCGGGTCCCCCAGGCCAGGCACTGCCCAGGGCTGACACCTTTGCCAGTATTGCTTCTGAGGGCAGTGACAGCCACTGGTGTGACACCAGGCTTCTCTAGCCCCGCCGGGAACCCAGCATCGGGCCTGGGGCCGTAGAGCCGTGCAGGCGGAGCCGACTGTGGCCACTGTCTCGTCTGGGGCAGGGCCTCACCCCGCAGTGCTGTCGGCGGGCCACTGCGGGGCTAGGCTTTGGGGATCACAGTGAGAACCGGGTGCTGTCTAGGACGGGGTGCACCTGGACGGGCAGGCCATCCTAGTTTCGTGTCCAGCTGGTGCTCAGGGCCTCTCCTGAAGCCAAGGGAAGGCGGTGACCACGCACAGGAGTGAGCGGGTTGCTGGTGGGTGGGTGATCCCCTTGCCCAGGCCTCCTGCTGGTCCTGAGCCAGCACCCAGAGCTCCAGGGCCGCCCCGTCCCACCCCCGCCCCACCCACGGCCTATGGGTAGCAGGTCCTGCTGCCCCTGCCAAGGGTCTGCTCCAGGCTCTCGTCCCCATGTCACCCACAGCCTCTTTCCTGCAGAAAGACCTACCTCAGTCACCGTGGGCCCCGGCTGACAGCCCCCAGCCTCCCCGGGAGCCAGATGGCCCGAGCCCCCAGCAGCCTCCAGGTGAAGCGCAGGCCAAGGCCCCCCTGCCCACTGAGCAGCCCCCAGAACCATCTCCGTCGGAGGAGGAAGGGGCCGAAGCACCTGCCCAGGAGCCCGGGAACCTGGCCCCTGGCACCCCAGAGCCCGTGGGCCAGGACCCGGCCTTGCCCGGCCCCACCGCCCAGCCTGGGGTCTCCGCCTAGGGAGGGGGCTTCCAAGCCCTCGAGGCCTGGCATGGCCATCCCCACCACACCACGACGCCGGGGCCACTGGTGCCTGCAGGAGACACAGGACAGCCACGCCCACCAGCCTGGCCCGCGCCGGCCCCCAACATGGTGCTCAGCCCTCGGCAGGGCCCCACGGCCCTCTTGCCCTCGCCCGCCTGCGCCCGGCCTCTCCAACCCTGCTCTGCGCGCCTGGCCGCCTCAGCCCCTCCAGCTCCGCAGTCTTCCATCAGGTCCTCTTCCTGGTCACTTGCGCCATCTGCTTGCGGCCAAGGCCACGGCATCTGGTGCTTCACCTGCCCCTGCTTCCCTGCAGGGTTGCCCTCCCTGTGGGGCACGGCTGCAGGCGGCAGAGGGGCGGTGTGCTGAGCAGCCAGCACTGTCCATGTGAGGCGGGCCGGTCCGGAAGGCGCGCCTGGCCTGAGCCACATGGAGAGCGAGGCCGGCGGGGTTCAGGACCCCGACTGCAATGGAGATGAGAGATGAGCAGAGATGACCACCGTCCCGGGGCCCAGAGCAGGCCCCACGCACCTCCCTCCTTTGATAAAGGGTGGCTGCTCCCTGAGTCTGGTGGTGTCCCCAGTGGCGTGGGGTCTCCACTGCCCCCAAGGCGGGGCGGGGCCAGGGAGTCGGCACAGGACTGAGGTGGCCCTCGTGGGTTACCGGCGCTCCCTGTCCCTGGCTGCAGCAGGCGGAAGCAGCTCCAGGGCTTCGGGACCAAGGGAGGATGACCCCGAGCCAGCGTCTGTCCTCTACCTCACCCACGGGCTCGTCCAGGCCCCAGGACAGAGATGCTTGTGGCAGGGCCAACCTCCTGGGCATGGCCGGTCCCCACGCCATGCTGCATGTCGCCCCCAAATCCCAGGCAGCAGAGCCTGGCGTCGGGCACGGGTGTGGGGCCCTCCCTGTCCCCGCCGTCCCCAGAACCAAGTTCAGAAGGGTGGAGCTGGTGCCCTGCACTCGCCCAAGCAGCTGGGTTCTGCTCTGCGCCAGGTCGGACTGGGACTGGCCAAGAGCCCCACGCCCCGCGGCCAGCCAGCGGGGGCTCTGGAGAGCAGCAGAAAGGGCGGAGGGAGGAAAACGGAGCGCTTCCCCAGACATCCTGTTTCTTGAAAAGCACCGTGATGTGGGGACAGGAGTGTCAGGACCTTCCTCCCCGTGGACGCCGAGGACAGGATCCAAGCGGCCGAGCACCCGCTCCTGCCATCAGACTGCACCTTAAATGAAGCCATTTTGTACGTGGGCGTGAGGGCAGAGGGGCCGTGCTGGGCTCTCCGTTTGTATGTTTTGCCTTGCTCCTGTTGGATCTGAAGATTAAATGTAGCTTTTGATATTTACACCTGGCCTTTCCTCCCTGTGGGCTGCACACGGTGGGAGGCAGAGGGCTGTCCCCGTCCTGCCCCGGTGCAGGCTGTGTGGCCAGTGTCAGGCGCAGCAGGCTCTCCGCTCTGTGGCAGTGCAGGGTGACGGCACGTGCTGGTCCTGGCTTAGGAGATTCGGGACTGGAAAGAAATTTAGCAGCTTGGTCTCGTTAGAATGTTCCAGGAAATCAGGTCTTGTGGTCACTCCTTTGGGTGCCGTAGGCCAGGTGGTCCCTGTTACCACTGCTGTGCTGTTGTCACTAAGAGCATCACAGAAGCCAGACTGACGTGGTGGCACACGTCTGCCACCCTGGCACTCTGGGAGGCTGAGGCAGGAGGATCACAAGTTTATCCCAGCCTGGGCAACTTAGCTAGAGCCTATCTCAAATAAAAAATAAGAGGACTATAGGTGTAGATCAGTGCCGTGGCCCTGGGTTCCTAACAAAAAGAAAAGTCACAGCTGGAACTAGAAGTTCATAGCGTTTATATATACAAGATAGTCCTGACTGTTACAGAAAATTAAAAATGTGAAGCTGGGGTCCATGGTGCGCACCTGTCATCACAGGTTTGAGCCCAGCCTGGGCAGCTTAGCCTTTCTTAGCTTCACCCGCTCAAAGATGGAAGGCTTAGGCCCAGCTCCGCTCGCCCTCCCTGGCCAGTAGGAGTGGGGGCAAGAAGGACACAGCCTTGCCTGTGGGGCTGGCAGACTCGGCTCGTCCAGGGCCTCGCTGTGCACTGGGGCTGTGGGGGTCGCTCAGTTCCCACAGACCCTCCTGCACCCCTGCCCCACCCCGGGGACCCTAGAGGAGCGGCTCCTCCAGGTGCTCAGGCCGCCCGCGTGCCTTTCCGCAGTGTTCCACCCCACTTCTGGTCAAAAAGCCCGGCCCAAGTGACACCAGAAACCCGACCCCCCTTTGAGGACCCCATACTGCAAACCGGGTGAGACCCAGGGACAGGTACAGTGTAATTGTGTGAACTGCCTCTGGGCTACGAAAGCCAGTTTAGCTTCTTAGCCGGCTTAGCAATCCATCCATGTGGCCCAGAGCCACACCAAGCCTTGATTTGGGGGTCACCGTGCTCAGAGTTCGGTGACCTGTTCTATATGTGCCTCCCCCGTACGGAAAGGGTGTCCTATTGAGCATGAGCGCCGGCCAAGCCTGGGTCTCGGGGAAACAGCCCTGGCTCGCACATGTCCGGCCGTGGTCACCAGTGGTCTCGGCCAGTCCCTGTGTCCTCTGTAAGGTGGGGTTAACCACGTGGCCACTGCGGGCCACAGCGTGTGAGACATCACAGGTGCTGCTAAGAGATGGCCTCCCTAATGTATTAACGATGCACTTATTTTGGTAAATAAGCATTTTATTTTAGAACAGCTTTGCACAAAGATTGACTATAAACCACGTACCCCAGTCCTTGGGAGGCTGAAGCAGGAGGATTGCTGTGAGTCTGAGGCCAGCCTGGGCTATGTAGTGAGTTGAAGGCCAGGTCTCACTGTGTAGCGCTGAGGGTCTCCAGACCAGATAGGCGGGTGCTGGGGCCTCTGGGGTTCAGCCTGCCCTGTGACCGTGCACACAGCTCATGGGGGCCGGGCCTTTGCTGAGGGTCACAGAGCCCGGCAGGAGCCTGGGCAGGGGCAGAGCCAGCAGAAAGTTGGGGGTAGGTTGGCTTTAGGAACCACAGATCTGCTTAGTTAAAAAGTGAAACGATGTCACCCACACTGTTCCACACACAACCATGGATCCGTCAGACCATCATCTACCTATTTGCTCACCCACCCATCCATCCACCTCCCCATTTACCCATCGTCCATCCATCCGTCCATCCATCCATCCATCCACCTACCCATCCACCCCCACCCACCCATCCGTCTACTCACCATCCACTTACCCAGCATCCATCCATCCATCCACCTACCCATCCACCCCCACCCACCCATCCGTCTACTCACCATCCACTTACCCAGCACACATCTACCCACTCATTCACCCCTTCATCCTCCCTCCACCACCAGTCTGCATCGAGCACCTGAGGTATGCAGAAGCCGGACTAGGGACGGGGGGAGGTACCACGGGCGAGTCCTAACCCCAGCTCTGCCCAAGGAAGCTCAGCCTGGTGAGGAAGCTCAGGACCCAGGGTGGCAAATGCAACTACGTAGTGAGTTCAAGGCCAGTGTGAACTACACAGTGAGAACCTGCCTTGAACTCACTGTATTGCCCAGGCTGACCTTGGGCTCACAGCAATCCTCCTGCTTCAGACTCCTGAGTACCAGGGTACCTGGTTTATATTCTCAATCTTTGCGCGAATTTGTTTTAAAACAAATGCTTGTTTACCGAAATAAGGTGGTTGTTTACACACACCCCTTGCCCAGCTCTGTTCCCTGCCCCCTAGGAAGTCAGCCCCAGCGGTCCTGGGCTCATCCTTCCCCGGCCTCTGTCCAAAATCACTTGCCCAGGTGTGCTCAACTGCCCTTGCCTGCAGCGCGCGCCAACGAAGCAGCTGCGGAGGGGTCAGGCTGCGAGCGGGGGGAGGGGGGACCCGGTGGTGGGAGACCAGGTGGGCGGGAGGGAGGCGGGAGGGAGGAGCCCCGCCCAGGTGCGCCCCGCCCCGCCCCGCCCCGCCCTCCAGCCCGTAGCTCCAGCTCCGCAGCGCGGGATCCCACTGGCAGCTGGAGCAGAGCGTGGTGAGTCGGGGTCACCCACTGGGCCCAGGGCCCCTCCGGAACAGGGGGTGTCCGTGCGCCAACCCTGGGGCTGTGTGCAGGCAGCCATGGTGTGCAGACCACGTCCAGCTGTGTAGATGTCGAAGCGCCCTGTAGACACAGCCGGTGTGTAGACGGGAGTCAGGCGGCGTGGACGCCGCGGGGTGTGGAGAGGGGTTAGGGCTGGCGGAGGCGGCGGCGGGAGGGAGGACCCCCGGCTTCATTCTCACCAGGAGCTTCCAGTCCTTCCTACCCAGTCTTGGGTTGAAGGTGGGAGGCCGTGAGTGGGATCCCCTTTCCCGGACATCCCGGCAGCCCCAGGGGTGGACAGTCTCCGAGGAGGGTTTGCGTTGCCGATTTAAGGAGGGCCGGATCAAAGAGCCTGAAATGGAGTCCTGTTTGCCGTAGGGAGGGCTCTGACCGTCTGTCCTCGATGTCACCGAGTTACAGGGTCTGATGGGAATTAGCCCGGGGCACACACCCCAACACACAAGATCTGTGAGCCCGTGTCCTCATGCTGGAGAGCCTCAGCTTCCTGCCCCCACTTAAATTTAAAAAAAAAATTTTCTCGATTCTAGAGTTTGAACCCAGATCCTTCATACCAAGCTCCACCCCAGTCCTATTTATTTTTTATTTTGAGGCAGGGTCTCAATAAGTCCCTAAAATACCCAGGCTAAACTCAGACTTGTGATCCTCCTGACTCAACTTCCCAGAGTGCGTGGGATCGCAGGTGTGCAGCACGGCATCGGGCCTTCCTGCCCCACATGTTACAGGGGTCCCAGACCTCACAGAGGAAAGGGTGGGCCCCAGAGCCTGCCCAGGGCTTTGGGGGCTTACATGGGGAACACATTTCATTTCCCAGCCCTGGTCCTGGGCTACTTTTTGACGGGTTGAGCATTCACTCCCAAGGGCCAGCAGGGTTGAGAAGGAAGGGCCCTGGCGCTGTGGGTGTGTGAGATTGTGGGTGTGTTCTGTACAGTTGTGTAGCTGTGTATTTGCGGTTGTGTTGACTGGATGGTTGTGGGGTAGCGTGCTGTGTGGCTGTGCACGTGCTGTGTCGGTCATGTGTGCGGCCCAGTGTGTGGACGTCTGCGTCTGTATGGCTGGGGTGTTGTGTTGGTGTCCTGAGATGGTGCCGCTGCGTGTGCAAGATCATGGATGGCTGTGTGAGCTTTGTGCGGCTGTGTTGTCTGAGTGTGAGGTCGTGATCTTACGTGCATGGTGGGTGTGAACCCCTCTCCCCGGTCTCCCTGGGTGGCCGAGGGGAAGTCCCCTCTGCTGGGGACCATCTCCCCATGCGGCAGTCCACCCCACCGGGAGCGGGTGGTGCCGGGCCCAGACCCACGGAAACACACGCGTGCACGCACCTCTGAGCACAGCCTTCCTGCCCCCCAAGGCTGGGTGGTGCGCCCGGGCCCATCCTGTGCGTGGTGAGCAATTGTGTGACGTTCCCCTGCAGATTTATTTCCCTTTCATTCTGTGGGGCGGGGGCGGGGATGGAACCCAGGGCCTTCTCCCTGAGCTACATCTCCTGCCCCGGTATCACCGGGAGTTCGAGCCCAGCCTGGGCTTCATAGCGAGCGCAAGGCCAGGCTGAACCACACAGCGAGACCCTGTCCCCCGCATCCCTGCACGCAGCCTGCCCATCCCACTGGATCGCGGGAAGGGCTGATCTAACGCTGCGTGGAGCTGAGGGCTTCGTTTCTGCCTGTCGCCACGAGCATCTCTGTCCTTGCCCTGGATTCCTCTGCCCTGTGGGCCCCTCACAGCCATCCTTTCCCTATTCGAGACCCTAATGTGAAGAATTCTGGGGCATCAGCTGATACCTGCTGTTCTTTATACCTTACCTTGTACCCACCTGCCGTCCCAGGTACTCAGGAGGCTGAGGCAGGAGGATCACAAGTTTGAGACCAGCACAGGCAATTTAGCAAGAGACCTTGTTTCAAAATAAAATGGAAAAGGCTGGCTGAGAGCTCACTGGTGAGCGCTTGCCTAGCATGTCCGAGCTCCTGGTTCCGTCCATCTCCAGCACCATGAAAAAGGGGGTTACAGAATAATTTTACCAGAGGAGACGGATCTGGGGGTGCTGCTATCTCCCGTGAGCATAGCCCTGAGATGGAGACAACCCAGGCAGGAAGCTCCTGGCAGACTTCACCTTGATTTCCAGCCAATGTGCTTGTCTCCCACCCTGCATTGAGGACCTGTGTTAATTTTCAATTCAACAGGTCATGGGCCGTTGGAAATCTATTTATTTTAATCTCCAAGTTTTTTTTTTTTCCAT